CTCCCAGAGCCCTCCAGGGTCCTCCCATCATCTCTTTCCACATGTTCCTTCCCTTTTATAGAGATTACTTTTTTAATTGTGGAAGTAGAACACTCATAAGAAAAGTGCATATGAATAGTTTCACCAGCCAGGTCAAGAAATAGGACATTAGTTGTGCCTCAGAAATACCTTCTGAACCCTTCTTGCTATAACTGTTTCCTTGTGGACAATCACTAAGAGTTGAAATAATTATTTCCTTGCTTTTATTTATACTTTTACTGTTCATATACCTAACTATATAATTAGTTTAGTCTATCTTTTAAAGTTAGATGAATGGAATCATATTGTGTGTGTTTTGTGCGTGACACAATTTGTGCAAAATTGTAAGATTCGCCCATGTTATTATGTGTAGTTACAGTTCATTTTTTTATTACTGTAAAAATATTTGATTGTACAAATACCACATAGTTTATCCATTTTATTGTATACAAACATTTGAGTTGTTCCCACTTGTTGGCTACTATGAACAGTGATCCTAGAAACATTCTGGTGCATGTGTCCTGGTAACACACACGCATTACATAGGGTACATAGAGAGAGTAGAACTCAGTCATTGTTTCTCATTTTTTTTCCTTAAAACTTAAACATATGGACCAATATATGTGGATTTTAGAAAATTTCCTTAATATTTAGAGAATAGGTTCTTGTTAACAATATGGAAAATATGCTATCTCCTCCCTACATAACCAGTAATAAAATCCTTGTTGACTTTTAAAAAGTGCATAAACACACACACACACACACACACACACATACATGCTTTTTCACATTTCTTTTTTATTTTTACAGCAAATGGTATCACTTTATAATCCTGTTTTGTAACCTGCTTTATATCGAAAGCTTTTTTTAATGGAATCATACTGCATATTTTTAAAACCTTCTTAAACAACCTTCTGTTTTGTATTGTGCATTTTCCATAGGTTCTCAGTATAGCAGGAGCACTTTTCTTTTTTTAATTACATTTATTGGGGTGGCATTGGTTAATGAACACCCTTCCTTGTTCACCTGTATCTACTCTATTTCAGTGGTTGCATGGTTTGTCATTTACCTTACATACTCAGCCACCTATTAGAGGTTATTTAGTGATTTCCCCCCAGTTTCTTTCTTTAAGTCCCTAGAAGGAGACTTGCTGGACAAAGTATGTGAACTTTTTCTAAAAAAATATTTTTTATTGATTTCAAAGAAGAAGGGAGAGGGAGAGGGAGAGAGAGATAGAAATACCAATGATGAGAGAGAATTATTGACTGGTTGCCTCCTGCACACCCCACTCTGGGGATCGAGCCTACAACCCAGACATGTGTCCTGACCAGGAATTGAACCGTGATCTCCTGGTTCATAGGTCAACGCCCAATCACTGAGCCACATCGGCTGGGCAAAGGGTTTCGATGCCTGTGGCCAAAATGCTCTCCAGAAAAGTTGGTCGAGTGAAGAGAGTCTTGAACTCTAACTAGAGGAGACCCTTCACCCGGGACCAGTTCACTGTTCCCGCCTCTCCCCTTGATGGCAGTGGCAGAGGAGGGAAGGGGACAGTCCAGCCAGAACTGACCCCCCAAGGGAGACCTGCCCCCACCTCCCGATTCCCAGCCTCCCCTGTGCCCTCCCTCCAGGTACGCAGCCCGGGACAAGAGCAAGCTGGCCCAGCTGGGCATCACCCATGTTGTGAATGTTGCCGCGGGCAAGTTTCAAGTGGACACCGGTGCCAAGTTCTATCACGGAATGCCCTTGGAGTACTATGGCATCGAGGCTGATGACAACCCCTTCTTTGACCTCAGTGTCCACTTCCTGCCTGTTGCCCGATACATCCGAACCGCCCTCAGTGTTCCCCAAGGTGGGCTCTGGAGAAGGAGATGGGGAGGAGGTGGGGTGGGTGAGAGCCGGGGCTGTCCATTTTCCAGCGGCCCTGATAGGGAGTGTGTCCTGAGCCCCAAACCTCTCCAGCACCCTCCCACCCATGGTGCAAATATCTACTACCATTTAGTGAGCGTGCCCTCGGAGACTCCCTGGCCACCAACAATCACAGACAGAACTAAGGTCCCGTGTGGTCATCAGTATAACCATATCCCTCCGTGAGAGAGCAGGTGTGGGTAGCAGGCACGGGACCTAGCAAAGGCTCTTGAGCAGACGCTTCTAAAGTGAAGCCTGGGCATAGGGCTGCAGGGACAGGGAGAGGGCAGAACTGGGGGGAAAGAGAGACACAAACCCAGGGGACTCCCACAGTACCCTCCTCTCGCACTCCCCACCAGCTAACTCCCAGGGTTCCAAGGAGGCCAGAGGAAGCACCTTGAACCAGGAGAGGGGAATCCCAGCTGCTAACCTTAGCTCCTCCGCTAACTTACTGTGTGACCTTGAGCCGGTTCCTTTCCCCCTCTGGGCCTCATTTGCCCCACCTGACACCGGACACTGTGTCAGTATTCTAGGACGCTGTGACAGGTGGGCTGAGGGAGGGCCAGAAGGACTTCTGAATCCCAAATGGGTGGGTAGTACGAGGGCAGGTAACTGACGCTGGGTCGGGTCTCCCTGCAGGCCGCGTGCTGGTACACTGCGCCATGGGGGTGAGCCGCTCCGCCACTGTCGTCCTGGCCTTCCTCATGATCTACGAGAACATGACACTGGTGCAGGCCATCCAGACGGTGCAGACCCACCGTGATATCTGCCCCAACTCGGGCTTCCTCCGGCAGCTCCAGGTTCTGGACAACCGACTGGGGCGGGAGACGGGGCGACTCTGACCTGGTGGACAGCCAGGAGCCCTGACCCTCTGGTTAGCGGGGCCCCACCCACCAGCCTGGCCCTGGGGACAGCGGCCTCTGCTGTTTCCAGTGACCTTGAGATGAACATAGCAAGTGGGGCTTAGCGGAGGCAGAGGCAGGGAGAGCTGGTTGGTGCCCTTTTGGCAGGTGGATTCCCCTGACCCAATCCAGAGATTCTTTATGCAAAAGAGTTCAGTCTCTCTCTATAATAAAAGGTTCATCATAATAAAGAGACCTTCTGGTGGTTTGTGGGGCGGTGGCTCACTCCAGGGATGGCCACGCTATTCCAGAAGGCTTGCCGGCTCTGATTTAGGGTGATGGCAGCCTAGAGACAGCGTCTGAGTCCCTGTCAAGGCTTCATGAAGGAGGGCAGGTGAGGATCAGTGAGTGATGCCGACCTCGGGTGCAAGAGGAAGGAGTGGAGCACAGGTGCTGAGAATTAGCTGACCTTTCTTCATCCTGTCCTCCTACCATCACCAAGAGCGAGGTTGCCTGAGTAAATACCAAAGTTCGAGGCATCACTGTCTTCACTATGAGCCACCAGTGTGGCTCAGTTGGTTGGCACATCATCCTGTGCACTGGAAGGTCATGGGTTCGATCCCCAGTCAGGTGCATGGGTGGGGGCAGCTGAACAATGTGTCTCTCTTGCTTTGATGTTTCTCTCTCTCTCTCTCTCTTCCTCCCTCTCTAAATATAAAAAATAAAAACAAACAAAATACCCCCTCCACGACTCACTGTGTGCAAATAGCACCTCTTGAATCCTGTCAATCTTTTCATTTACACTCTACTTTCAAAATCACAACACCTGGAAAACTGAGGGATTAAACAGGAGCACAGGGGTTGAGAGGAGATACCCCCAAAATCCTAGACAAAGCCTGGTTATATGACGGAGCAAGACATTTAGCTCTGAGTTTCTCTGTACTTATGCCCTAATAAAACAATACTAAAGCCTACAGTTTCCTCACCTGTAGGTGGTACAAGGTATTACGAGGATTATAATTGGGCTGTGTTTCCTTCTCCCTCTCTGGTTGCTCCTACTTAGCCCTTGCCTTCTCCAGCTGACTCATAAAGGCCACAGTTTCTTAGGGTTCTGTCCTCTGCCTTATCTCCCCCTCAGTGTCCTTGCCCTCCTTGGGGGGCGGGGGAGGGCGGGTCCTCTTGCTCCCACAGCCTCAGTTCACATCTCTGGGCTGATGACTCCCAGCTCCCTGTGGCCAGTCCAGTTCTCTCTTCTGCGCTCAGAGCCTCTGTATCCCACTGGCCACCTCCATGTGGATTCTGCCCTTGAACTTCAAACTCAGCTGAACTTTCCATCACCCCTCCACCCAGATCACGTCTCCTCTTGGTCTGACAGCCATTGTTACCCAAGTCAGAGATGGGTGTCACCTGGACTCCTGCCTCTCATCCATCAGCCTATCGATTCCTCCTCCCAGATACAACTTGGATCTGCTCACTTAACTTCATGTTTGTTGTGGCTACTCTAGTTCAAGCCAAGCTCACCTCTCACCTGGATTCTTACAACAACCTCTGCCTCCAGCCTGGTCCCCCCTGTCTCCATGTGGCATGCCAACATCTGGCCAACATAAAAATTGACCACGTCACTCCTCTGCTTACAGCCCCTGAAGTACAAAGACCTTGACGAAGTATGAAGATGCTTCATTATCTGAGAAGTTCTCAGACCTCCAGCCATATCTCCTTCAATTCTGTTCTCATACATACCACGTACTTAAGAAACAGTAAACCTACTTGCAGTTCCCAGAATGCCCCACACTCTCGGACCTCTGCTAACTTGCACCCGCTCCCAGTTGCATCCCTGGAGGCACCACTCACCCCACTCTCCACTGCGGTCTCTGCGAGGATTCAGCTTAGACATCTCTCCTGGGAAGCTCTCCTAGACCCCCCCGACCTGAGAGAAGTGCTGCTCGCGGGCTACCACCATGTCCTTCTACCTCTGATGTCTCCTGTCGCTCTGGATTATAACCACCTGTGCCTTATCCTCCTCTTCCAGCTGCGGTCTCTGACCAGGCTTTCCGTGGGCTGGGTGCCCCGCCCCAGGGCTCCCCCTCTCTGGCTATAGCCCTGCCTTAGGTACAGCTGTGTTTCCGGGGACCAGCAGCCGCAGGATGGCGCCACTGCCACTCAGCATTCTCTGAAGAGCCACCAGAAGGAGCGGATCCCAGCTGCTCTGGACTGGGCCTTCCTCCAGAGGGAACCTGCTCTCCTCCCAGTTCCACCTGCTGCATCGCGTCATTCGGCTACCCTGACACTCCCTTCCCAGTTCACCTTGTCCCCTTGGGCCACCTCTGATTCCCTCTCCCTCCTCCTCACCAAGGCTCTCTGGAGGCTTCAGGGGCTTTCTCCCTTCTCTGCCATCTGGTCTCTTTCCAGAAAGCAAGTGCTTTTTCTTTGTACAAATCAAAAAAGGTGGCCCCTCTGCGCAAACCAGGTTGAAGCATTCCTGGGCTTGGTCAAGGAAAAGGTCTCTCTTCCAAGCAGACAGAGCTGCAAGCCAGGGTGCTCAACTGAGGGACTGAGCGCAGGCTGTGTTTCAGCCCCCATTCACTCCTGCAATTTATAAACTGTACAAACACAGGCTGCCTGACCTGGGATGTAGGGATGAATACCCCCATTTTACAGAGGAACAAACTGAGGCTCAGAGAAGATGAAATGGGACTGAAATACGGCGTCCTGGGTCTAGGCTCTCTGGGCTCTGGCCTCAAAGGGCAGGTACTGCCCAGTCAGCTCCTCTGCTCTCCTCCCTGCAGCATTTGGTTGGCCCTCGTCCCAGCTGGCTGTTGGGTGCTCTCTGGGCCTTTTCCAAAGCTGGAAGATGGTAGAAGGGCTGTTGCTGCTATGCCCGACCAGCCAGAGTCCCTCTCCAGCCGAGGGACTAAAAATAATTCTCAGTTCATCCTCAGGTTGTTGAGGCCATAATTATCCAGAGCAGACAAAGCTAGTCCCCACTTGGCAGCCCAATCTGCCCACCCCAATTCTCTCGGATCCCCCTTGTGCCTGACAACTCAGCCCTTGTTGCTATTTCTTGTTCATGCACTGTCAGCGGGAACCAAAATAGTGGCTCTAAATTAACATCTGGGTCTCTGAGTGTGAGCCACCTGCCTCTGCCGGCTGGGGTAGGATGCCCAGAGGCTGAGGCAGAGCCACACCCTGGGGCTTGAGTTTCTGCAGGTCACCTTCTTGAGGCTCTGAGGGTTAGACTTAGTCTAGGGCTCCAGGGGAAAGAGGGAGGGAAGTCCTAAGAAAGCAGGTGGTGAGAGAGCCAAACATTTTTTCAGAACACCCCAGGATACAGAGGTTGAACTCCTGACGGGTCCCTCTACCAGGAAGCCTTCCTGCCTGCTACACTTGCCCCAGAAAGTCTGTGCTGATGCATCGACTTCCCCTCTTTTCTAGAGCAGCCTCATGAAAGGCATGGGGTATTGTCAGGAGCATGACTTTGGGCAAATTACCTGGATTCAAATCTGCTCTCTGTCCTCTACCAGGTGTGTGACCTCAGTTAATCTCTCTACACCTCTGGTTTCCCATTTGCAAAATGGGAGTAATAATAACCAACCTGTAGGATCGTTGTAAGAATTAAGTGGGGAAGATAGGAAGTTCTTTGTACAACATGTGGCAAGCTTTCAAAAATGAGGTCTGTGATTATTGTCATAGTACATAGTACAGGGGCCTCCTGGCATTGTCTGCTACTCAGAACACCAGTCGTGGACTAATCGTTGGTAGTTGAATGAATGATAAAAAATTAGCTGACCTAAATGCAACATGGTATTCTGGATGGGATTCTGGGACAGAAAAAGGACCTAAGTAGAAAAACTGGTGAAATCTGAAATAGATCTGTGGTTAGCTAATAGCGTTCCACTAATTGTAATTTCTTCGATAACTACACCGTGGTTAAGTAAGAAGTTAACATCAGAGAAAGCTGGGTGATGAAAGTGAGAAAGTTTCCACTGACTTTAAAACTCCCTGTAACTAAACATATTTCAAAATAAAACTTCGAAGGAATTGCTGACCATTTCTGACTGCTTTGCATATGCCAGGCACTATGCTAAGTGCTTTAGATGCATCATGTCCTTTTTTTCTTTTCTTTTCAGTTTCATCCATAATGCTTTATTTCTTTAGGAAAAAAACACAATTCAAATATAGCAAAATGTTAAGATTTGATCACATTGAGTTGTGGGAATATGCGTTTATCTTTTTTGTGTGTGGGAGTATGCGTTTTTATCTTTTTAAAAATTATTTTCTAATTTAAAAAATAAAAACAAATTGACTAATTTTTAAAATTAGAAACATCTTGCCTGGCCGGTATAGCTCAGTGGTGCAGAGAGAGATTAGAGCAGATAGCAGCTAACTTCAACTGAAAGTTTAGTATGTACCAGTGCACATCAGGGTAGCTAATGGCTCTGACAAACAAAACTTTATTTCTCCCTCACAACACAGGTTGATGGGATGTGGGGGAGTGAACATGGAGGGGATATAAGAGACCAGATAGGTCACTTCTCTTGCAGTTCCATGGCCGACTCAGTCCATGGTCACACCTAGCCACAGGGGAGGCTGGGAAATGTAGTCTAGAGGGTGCCCAGGAAGAAGAGGAAACTGCAAATGTTGGTGAGCATAAGCAGGCTTTCCCACAGCAGGTGCTGACATGAGACATAAACAATCATTTCATTCTCATAAGCCATAAGAGGTCATACTATTATTAATATTCCCATCCTACAGATGTGAGTGAAAATCAAGGCTCACAGAGTTTATTTTTAAAATATATTTATACTGATTCAGAGAGGAAGGGAGAGGGAGAGAGAGAGAGAATCATTGATCGGCTGCCTCCTGCACCCCCAACACTGGGGATCGAGCCCCCAACCCAGGTATGAGCCCTGACCGGGAATTGAACTGTGACATAGGTCGATGCTCAGCACTGGCCAGGCAAGCCTGTGATCTCCAACACTCCCTGAGCCGTCATTCCGGCTTGACCTTGGTGACCTGCTTACCAGGAGGTTTTGGACAAACATGGCAGTCAGGAACTTCTGAAGCTGGGTCATAAGATGCCCTGTGGCTTCTGCCTGGGTTCCCTGGGACACTCTCTCTGGAGCCCTGAGCCACTATGCAGGAAGTCTAACTACCCCCGAGCGGCCATGCCAGCAAGGCCTTGGGGAGGCGAGCTGGCTGCAGTCCAGCTGAGTCCAGCCTTCCAGCCTCCCTGCCAGGGCACAGACATTGGAG